CGTGCGTTGTCCGGTGAAAAGAATAGAAGGTTTTATTCGTGCATTCGACGGTTATCAGCTGTATATTTGGACTGGGTTCATTGAGCGCACGTTTCAAACCGGAGCACGAAATAGGGTTTGTGGTTTTGTGGCGTCTGCGGGGCCTTCCCAAGCAGCAAAATATCTAACTCCGCAAACCCTGTGAGTCTCGAGCCACACTGACGGGAGAGGGTTATTTGAAGATGTTCCGCTTAAGTTTGTGGCCAAATCTTGTATCCGAGGCCGAGAAGGCAAAGCACCCAAGTGCCGAGCATCATCCCCCCTTCGGTTTAAAGTCTCCATTGTCCTCAGTGAACAGCCATTCTCAGTCTCATTCTCCTCCTCTTCCTCCTCCTCCTCCCTTCTCTTCCTCCTCCTCCGCCTCCTCCTCCTCCTCTTCTTCGTCCTCCTCGTCCTGCTGCACTGTCTCGTCCTTTTCCTGTCCTGGCCAACTTCCCAGAGATGGCCTTAGTGGGTGCATTCGCATGGTTTCGCCTTGTTCATACAGGCATATCTTTACATATGTCCTGCCCCCCGGGGGAGTTTCGTTGTGGTGATATTCGGTGCTTGAGGGTGAGGTGTTCAGTTGCTCTGCGCTGTGGAGGGACGTAAATCACATTTCCTGCCAATGACGTCGCTTTGCCCAGATCGGTGCACATCTCACGCAATTCCTGCCTCCCAAAGAGCTCCACCAAGGGCTTCAGTGGGTGCATTTGCATGGCGTCGCCCTGTCCATATCGGCACACCCGTCACGAATTTCTTGCCCCCCCCTCCCCCAGCGAGCCCAACCGATGGATTTAGCAGGGAACTGTACCGACGGCCCCAATGGTTTCAGTAGCATGGCGTCGCCCCGCTCATTGCGGCACATCCTTCAAGCGTATAGTGCCCCCGATGGAGCTCTTCCGATGGCCCATAAGCCTGCGTTCGCATGGCGTCGCCCGCCCATGTCGGCACGCAGGTCACGCGTTTCGTTGCCCCAGGGAACTCCAGCAAGGGTCCCAATGTGTGTGCGTTGGCATGGCGCCGCCCGCCCATACTGGCACACCCCTCGCGCACTTCGTGCGCCCGCAGGGAGCTCCGCCGAAGACTTCAGTGGGGCCGTTCGCATGGCGCCACCCCGCGCATTTCGGCACACCCGTCGCCCATTTCCTGTCCCCCAGGGGGCTCCGCCGAGGGCCGCAATGGGTGCGTTCGCATGGCAACGTTTCGCCCATTCCGGCACACCTCTCACACATTTCGTGCCCCCCGGGGATTTCCACCGAGGGGTTCAGTAGGTGCGTTCGCATGGCGTCGCCCCGCCCCTTCCGGCACACCCTTCACATCTTTCGCGGCCCTCACGCACGCCAGTCGTCATTTGGCGCATGTCGTTCCAGATTTTTTGTCTATGTTTTGAAATGCTGAAGGTCGTCACCATCGCAAAGTTAAAACGAGCGGACCCTTTGCATGTCAGGCGCCCGTCCTTCGCCGCGTCGCGTTCACCGCCATTTTCCCCATTGCGAGTTGATTTGTGAGAGGGCATGCGTGATTGGGCGACATGGTTCGCGTCCTGACCGTCTTTGGCGAGGTTGTCGGGGACATCGCAGATCCGTCAACGTCTTCTTTTGTATTGAGCCGTCGTGTGTATAGTTGCCCCTTGTTTAGATAGGGTCGGTTTCTTCGCCAGGCTTGGTGTTCTCCTTTGTCATGCCTTTCCGCTATTTCCTCTTTCGTTTACGCCTCTTTCCCCCCCTCCACCTTCCTCTTTTTCAAAGACTCTTTGCTCCGTTTCCCTCCCTCCTCCCTGCCCCAGCCATCCTTCCTCTTACCTTGAACGGAAGACGAAGGAGAGGAGCCCGCGATAAGCCATATGGTCTACATTTTTCACGCGCCGCGCATCCCACCATCCCATCCAGAAACGTTCGCGAATCGAGCTGCCTTCATCAGGGAAGTGACTGACACAGACTCGTGTGTCAGTCGTCAAGCCCAAGCTCGGAATCAGCCTGACCCAGGAATGACATTGCTGAGCCTGTCGTCCAAGAAAGACGAGGAGTGTGCGAATCGGAAAGAGGATCATGAGGAATGGGATGAGGGGGGAGGATGAAGAGAGAAGTCGGGTTTTGATGATGAGCAGGATGTTGCTGCTGCAGCTGAGGAGGAGGAGGACGACGAGGAGGAGGAGGAGGAGGTTGAAGGAGGAGGAGGAGGAGGCGGGGGAGAAGGAGGAGGCGGAGAAGGAGGAGGAGGAGACGCAAGAGCAGGAGACGAAGGATGGAGGAGGAATGGGTCGTCAACGACAAACTTGAACGAGGAGCTGGATCAGGAGGAGGAGGAGGACGAGGCGGGGGAGGAGGGGCAGGAGGAGAAGGAGGAGAAGGAGGGGCAGGAGGAGCAGGAGCAGGGGAGGAGGGGCAGAAGGAGGAGGAGGATGAGGATGAGGAGGAGGAGGAGGAGGCGAATGACGACGGCAGGAGGCAACCTTGAAGACATTCGCAGATTAGTTCACTCTAGGAGCCTCTTGGGAGCTCTGTGGAGCCATCTTGGAGCCCTCTCTTGGGGCCTGCTTGCTGGCTTCTGGGGTCGTCTTGGGGAACCTTAAGGGGCCTTTGGGCTCTTCTTAGGGCCACCTTGGAGAGCATTAATCAAAAATGGTGGGGTTCGACATTAGCGTCGCCCCACTTCAGCTCGCCAAATCGCACCCTGTGGCCTTCAGAGGGCGCTCTTGAGGCCGCAGGGCCTCTCCTAGGCCCCTCTTGGAGCTCTTGGGATTTGGAGACATCTTGAGGCCTCAGAGAACCATCGTAAGCGAACTTACGAGAAGCTCAGCCACTTTGATGCTCATCAGGTTCTTGAATCCGTTTGGTCTGTCGGGCGTCTCCTTGGGAGGTTCCGTTGCCAACTTGAAGCCGACTTGTGGTGAGCCTGTGACTTCTGAGAGGCATGTTCGATGACATCTGGATCTACACTGAGCATTGGAACAGCTTGCGTCATCTCGGAGGCCGTCTTAAGCTATCTCGAGCCAGCGTGGAGCCGTCTTGGATCAACAGCCTCCCAAGGGTGGCAACGAGATGCCAAACTCTTTCGAGCACATGAGGTTTTCCATGATCTTAGCATTGAGCGAAGGGGGCGGGGCCGATTTGGGCTGCCAGTCTTAAGCTCGACAAGTCGCCTACTGAGGCCTTCTTGGGCGGGTTTGGGGCGCTCCTCCTGGGACCCTCTTGTGGCGCCCTTGGGCGCTCTGGGGGGCTTGGGGCTCTCTTGGGCGACCGTGGAGCCATCCTGAGGCCCCAGAAACAGCCCATCGAAACGAAAATTGCGACAAGTCACAAGTCATTGTACGGAAATTGGAAGCGCAACGAAACGAAATTGGAAAGCGCAACGAAATTGAAGTTTCGTGAAGGTTTTGAACGGATTATGGCCTCTAAGGGGCGTCCCTTGTGGGGCTCCCCTTGAAGGCCATATGTCGACACTTTGCGGGCGGGGCCCCGCGCCATCGAAAAAAGCGGCCAGGGAGGGGCCGAAGGGGAAGTACACCTTAGGCGATGCTTAAGAAGACTTAAGTTTTCGGCCAGAATCTCGATGATTCTTAACGTTTCAATGTAAATCTTACGATTTTAATTGACATTTTGGGTTTTTATTCAAGTTCCGAGACTATGAATTTCTTAACCCATGATCTTTTAAGCATTTCGCAGGGTGTATGCAAGGGTAGCCTTGGACAGTTGTTTCTCCCTGCGATGCGTGTTCACTGCAAACCACATCCGCCCGGAGGGCTGGTGGAATTCGAGTGGTACGAAAAAGGTTCTCATTCGTGAGACGAGGGTGGCCCATCTGCCTGCGGCAAGCCCCGTCAACCGTGCCGTCGCAGCAGTGCAGTAGCAAGGCGATTCAGTTCCAGACCCGCTCCAGTTCAGTGTTCTGTCTGAAATGGCGCGGGTCTCGAGGTCTCCCTCAGCCTCGTCATCGTTTTCCTTTCTCATCTCTCCGTCCATTGCCCTCCTCCCTTTTGGAGGCATCTTAGAAGGTTCTTGGTGGCCTCTGTTGAGCCCCATGGGGGCCGTTTGGTGGTCTTTTCGAGGCCCGTTGGGGACCTCTTGGGGGTGTCGGTCGGGACTGTCTTGTACGCAACTTGGGGATGTCTGGGCGGGTCTTGGCGGGTTACATGTAATTTCGGGGCGCCGCTCGCGTGATGGCTTGGCTACGTGCGCGGTGCCATGCTGACGCCAAGTTACAACAACGTCGCGGACGCAGACGGTACGACGAGGCTTCTGTTATGCTTGTTTGTTTGATAACGCGCAGGACATTTTGAATGCGAGTCGGGCAGTGGCACTGGCATGAGCACGGAGGGAGCAGTGCGCGGTCGTGGATGCGTTTGGTGTTTCCTTGCTGATGTGGCTTACTTTCGGCTAGGTCGCATATTTTCAGTTCGTCTAGGGGACCCTCGTCGCCGCGGTTGGATTCCCTGTCACGTCCGGGTCAGAATGCGCTCCAGGACAGATCTTGGGGACGGCTTTGAAAAGGGACGGGACAGTGTAATGCCTTTCCGAAGCGCAACCTGAACTGCCAACTGCACGTGGAGAAGCATGAGAGGAGGATAAATAGGAGGAGAAGAAGGAGGAGGAGGAGGAGGGGACGAGGGGAGGAGGATGAGGAGGGGAGGAGAGGAGGGAGGAGGAGAGGAGGGGAGAGATGAGGAGGAGGAGAGGAGAGAAGGAGGAGGGGAGAAGGAGAGGGGAGGTGGAGGAAGGAGAAGGAGGGGAGAAGGAGGAGGGAGACGGAGGAGGGGAGAAGGAGGAGGGGAGAAGGAGGAGGGGAGAAGGAGGAGGAGGGGATAAGGAGGTGAGTGGATAAGGAGGAGGGGAGGAGGAGAAGAAGGAGGGGGATGATGATGATGATGATGATGATGATGATGATGATGATGATGATGATGATGATGATGATGCTGATGAGGAAGAGGAGGAGGAGGAGGGGAGGAGGAGGAGGCGGCACCCCTCGCGCGGTCAAAACAGCGGCTATTCGGCGCATCGGGGTGGTTATGAAGCCTCCAGCCCTCGTCGTGGAGTGGATGATGTCGAGCACTGGTCAGTACTGCCCTCCTCCTCCTCCTCCTCCTTCTCCTACCCCTTCCCTTTGCTCTCCTCCTTCTCCTATTCCTCCTCCTCCTCCTCTTTACCCCTGTCCCTTCCTTCTCTTCACCACAGCTAACATACTTACCGTAGATGCCGCACGATAATGTCTCACTGCTCGATGGGCCCGTAGATACTTGCGGCTCCTCGCGCAGCCCTGGTCGACGAAACGCGTGCCCCGCGGCTTCTTCGTATGTGCCCACTGTACTCCCTTCCCCCGCCCCTCTGGCCATTGGTTGCCCCGCCCCTTCCCCCGCCCCCTTCCCCCGCCCCTTCCCCCTGCCCGTTCCCCCCCCCGCCTCTTCCCCCGCCTCTTCTCCTGCCCCTTCCCCGCTCCCTCTCCCGCCCCGCCCCCCGCCCCTTCCCGCGCCCCTTCCCCCGCCCCTTTCCCCGCCTCCGTAGCCATTTTGGCTAAAGCTCTGCTTGCCGCCTGGCCAGAGAGGCTGGCGGTATGCTCTCGAACGGAAAGACATGAGGAGGCCGATGACGATGATGCTGCTGTTGATGATGCTGATGATCTTTATGTTGCTGATTATGTTGATGGTGATGTTTATGATGGTGGTGGTGATGATGATGATGATGATGCTGATGTTGATGATACTGATGTTGATAAAGATGATGATGCTGATGATGATGAGGATGATGACGATGCTGATGATGCTGATGATGATTATGATAATGATGATGATAATGATGATGATGAGGAGGATGATGATGCTGCTGATGATGATGATGCTTCTTCTTCTCCTTCGTCGTCTTCTGATTTCTGCAAGATCCCACGTGCATCGACAGAACAGGCTCCAAGCATTACGCGGACGGAGGGCGGGCCGTTGTCACAACGGGGCTCTCGCCGTGACTCGGCGCGCACAGTCGTCGTGGAAGACAGCACAGCAGCCGCACGGACGGACTGCGGTTTCTTTCCATTTGGGCTCTCGCCTGGGGCCTCGTCGACACCGATGGCCACAGTTGTGCAAGGATGCAGCGCCCGCGTGGGTGGCATGCGGTTCGTTTTCCAAAGGGGGCTCTCGCTCGAGACCCCGTTCGACTCGATGTCAGCAAGTCTAGAGCCGTGCAGTAGTTGCACGGATGTGGGGCTCAGCTCCTCTTTTCAGAGGGGGCTGTTTCTGGGCACTTTTTGGGGGGCTGGCTGCCACTCCCCGCCAGCCTTGCCACCGTGGTTCGCCACGGCCGCCCACCGCGCTCTGGCCCTACGCGCCTGGCTGCTGATGCCCCCCCGGCTGCTCCTCGTCGAACTCTTCGGTGTCTGAGCGTCCCTTCCTCCTCTCGGCCGTTCCCTTGTCCCTTTATGCTCGCCGGCCAATTCGCTAGTTAGTGTCCTCATCTAGCTTCTCGCTGCAGCGGCGTCCGCCGCCTCGCCGCTGACGGTAAAGCTTCGGGACGTTTCCTTGGTCTTGATGGCCCCGCCTTGTCTCGGGGGCGGAAAAGAGGGGGGTGATGACTAGGGGGGGGGGGATATCATGGCGCGGGCCATGATATTTCCCCAGATTTCATGGCGCCTCTTCTTATTTCATTACGTCCCTGGCCCCCCCGCTGGGCCACGCACATGCCGCCGGTCATGATCTGCACCCCCCCCTCTTGGACGCCCCCCTCTTTACCGCCCCCGCCTCGTCGCAGTCCTTGCGGCGGCGAGCCCAGGGTGGAAGTGAGACGGGGCGGGATTTCTCGGAGGGCTCGGAAACCCCACGGCCTCCCGAGAGGCTTTCGGAGCTTCCCCCGAAGGCACGGGCAACAACTCCTTGGGAGGCGCGAGGGCTTCCGAGGAGCCCCGCCGCCCTCTAAGGAGCCCTTCTCCTTCTCGCCCCCCCCTCGCTCGCCGCTCCATGCGGTTTCTGGGTCATGGCTCGGGTCTCCGGCAGGCGTTCGGGACGATCCAGGCACCGCCGGAACGCTCCCGGCGAGGCGCAGCTGCCGGCAAGCATCCCGAGACTGGAAAACCGCCAAGAACCGACGAGAGCGTCCGCAAGCCTCGGGCCTCGAACCCGAAGCTTCCCCTCTCGCTCGCTGCCCCCCTCGCTCGCCGAGCCTTGCAATCCGAAGGATGGTGGGCGGTTAGGTTCCGAACGGAGCTCCTGCCAGAATTCTGCGGGCCCCTGACCGCTCGCCTTTCTCACGGGGGGGCGCCTCGCGCAGGGAGACACAGAGAGAGCGAGTGCCTGTAGGGGGCTCGTGTGGGGGGGGCTTTCGGGGCGGGAGGGTGTCTTGCAGCATCGTTGACACATCCTGGGCTTACTCAGGTCCTCCCCCTACTCCTCCTCCTCCTCCGGCTCCTGCTCCTCCTCCTTATCCTCCTCCTCCTCCTCATCATCATCACCATCATCATAACCACCAGCATCATCATACTCATCATCATCACCATCACCATCACCATCTGCATCATCATCGTCACCATCATCAGCATCATCATCATCATCATTACCGCCGTCATCATTGTTATCATCGTCATCACCATCATCGTCACCACCACTATCATCATCATCATCATCATCATCATCATCATCATCATCATCATCATTATCATCATCATCATCATCATCATCATCACTATAATCATATCACCATAACCATCAGCAACATCAACATCAGCATCGTCATCACCATTGCCATAATCATTGTTACCATCATCATCACCATCATCATCATAATCATCATCATCACCACCATCCTCATCATCATCATCAACAACATCATCATCATCATCATTTTCATCAGTATCATTATCATTATCATCATCATCATAAGTATCATCATCATCACCACCACCACCATCATCATCATCATCACCATCATCATCATCATCATCATCATCATCGTCATCATCATCAGCAGCAGCATCATCATCATCATCATCATCATCATCATCATCATCATCATCATCATCATCATCATCATCATCATCATCATCATCATCATCATCCATCTCCTCCACCTCCTCCTGCTCCTTTTCCTCCTCCTCCTCGTCCTTCTCTCGTGGATTGCCGCTCTACCCTCGTCCAGCTTTCCCACATCGGTCAGCTCTTCCACCGTCGCATTGAGTTCCGCAACCTGCTGCCCTGCACGGACGCGGTCTTATCTCGTGGGCTCGTGCTGTTCCGCCGACGCCCTGGGAGGGTTTTGGCGTGGGCGGGGGCTCCTCCTGCTCCTCCTCCTCCTCCTCCTCCTCGTCCTGCCAGCTGTACGCCAATGCCGACACCGGCGACGCCCATCCAGGGCCTGTCCTGCCACGCCCAGCATTGGGCCCAGGATGGGTGCCTGAGTGTACCGCTTCCCAGCCAGGCCAGGAGGGGCGCGTGCGTGCAGATCCAGGGCCCAGGATGGGGTCCGACCAGGATCGGTGTCTTGGCGTGTCGGCATCCTCCCAAAGGGGGCAAGAGGTGAAGAAGGGGTGCAGGGAGAGGTGGGGTAGGAGGAGGAGGAAGAGGAGGAGGAGGAGGAGGAGGAGGAGGAGGAGGAGGAGGGGAGGAGGGGAGGAGGGGAGGAGGAGGAGGGGGAGGTAGAGGAGGAGGAGGAGGGGAGGAGGAGGAGGGAGGAGGAGGAGGAGGAGGAGGCGGAGGAGGAGGAGGAGGAGGAGGAGGAGGAGGAGGAGGAGGAGGAGGAGGAGGAGGAGGAGGAGGAGGAGGAGGAGGAGGAGGTAAGGAGGAGGAGGAGGAGGAGGAGGAGGAGGAGGAGGAGGAGGAGGAGGAGGAGGAGGAGGAGGAGGAGGAGGAGGAGGAGGAGGAGGAGGAGGAGGAGGAGGAGGAGGAGGAGGAGGAGGAGGATGAGGAGGAGGAGGAGGAGGAGGAGGAGGAGGAGGAGGAGGAGGGGGAGGGGGAAGGCAGGGGGGAAACGGGCTGAGGCGGGGTAGCGTCCAGATCAACTATAGCCCATTCAGTGCCGATGGGTGCCTGGGTGCCCCGCGGCGCCCAGGAATATGCTTGGTTTTTTGTCATCGGGGGCTTGTGGGTGGCGCGTCGTCGATTCCAGTTCGAGATCTTACCGCACTCTTGTCCCCCCCCTTCAGAGGGAGTGGGTGGGGAGCCCGTTGCCTGCCATCATGACCCCATGGCCAGGGGAACGGGGGGAGGGACACCGAGCATCCTCTTACATGCCCTGTCGACCCAATGGCGGGCGGGGGTTCGGTGGACTGGCCAGGGACGTTCAGCATGCGAACCAGGATCGCCGATGTTTTGGTCTTGCAGTGTGTGGCGCACGTGGGTTGCTTTGGAAGACGTTGCGTATCCTTTTGCCACTCACCGACCGCTTTGGTAGGGGCGCTGCCCAGTTTCGGTCGTGATCCCGAACCGGCTCTCCGGCGGGCAAGCGAGGCTTTGATTGTCTCTCGTCCTCCAGGCTGCAAGTGATGCGACCAATCCCATCTCATGCTGCCCCTCCCGCTTCCTCTTTGCACAGCTCGGCAACAGAACGTAAGGTCTGCTTTTTGTGATGAGGGTCACGATGCCCCTGCGGTCCTCGACTCGGCAAGAGCCCCCGGCTGGAGATGGTGAGCGCGCGGCGAGCAGCCCCTGCGCAGCTCGCCAGCCGGGGGCATTGTCTCTTGCAGGGTTCCTCCTCCTCCTCCTCCTCCGCCTCCTTCTTCTCCACCTCCTTCTTCTCCTCCGCCGCCTCCTCCTCCTCTTCCACCTCCTCCTCCTCCTCCTCCTCCTCCTCCTCCTCGCACCCCTTGTCCTCCCCCTCTGTGGTCCTGCTATGTTTTATGGATTGACCCGTATCGCTCCGATTTTTTGCTTCGGGTCCCCGTGCTGAGCTGTGTGACTGACGCGTGGATCGGCACTCGGACCGTGGCGCCTCTCCCTCCTCCTCCCTCTCCCGTCTCCCGCCCCTCTCTCCCGGAACGTATCTCGCGTGGGAGAGGCAAAGACAAAAGGGACAATCCTGCAGGGTGCGCTCCCGAGCGCTGCGCCCTTCTACCCCGTCCCGTGGCCGACTCACAGCCCACTGGCCACATCCCACCACGCCGCCTGCCGCGTCCCGCGGCAGAAACAGCCTGCCTGGCTGCCCGCGGCAGGCTTCCCGCCGCCGTGTGCAGGCGGAGAGCCTCGTCGTCGTGTGCATGTGCTGGGTGGCTCTTCGGGGGAGAGCCTAGGGCAACGAACAATGACACAAACGTAAAAACTCGGAGGTCCGCGCGGATTTCTCGGATCCGCGCTGGGCCCCCCCTTGACGGCGCCTCCAGCGCCGCCTCTGGCGCGCTCCGCGCGCCAGGGAGGAGGGTCCAACGCCGATCCGAGAAATCCGCGCGGACCTCCGAGTTTCATGTTTATGTTATTGTTCGTTTCCCTAGAGCCAGCCCTGCCGGGCGATGCCCCCCCAGGGGCGGAGGAGAAGGAGGGCGGCATTCCTGCCGGCCTCCTCCCCTTGTGCGCGCACGCGTGTATAAGCGCGTACGCACGCGCGTGCGTGCGTTTGTGCGTTTTGTGTGTGTGTGTGTCGTCGCTTAACGGCAGCGCCGTTTCGCTTCCTCGCCAGCGCAGTGACTCTGCCTAGCCGCCCACGCAAAGAGTGTGTGTGTGTGTGTGTGTGTGTCGGAGTGGTGCGACCTTTGCGGTGATGCGTGCAGTTTTTTTTTGGCCTGGATGGTGTGCCCCGTCTTGCCCGGCTTTGCTGTGACCGGCCTGGCCGCTAGCCTTTCGCGGCTCTGGTTGCGGTTTGGGTCTGCTGTTTTAACGCTGGCGTCTGTATTGAACGCTCGGCCATGTTCGCGCCCTGTCCGCTACCCATGTGCGCCGCCGCGTTCCGCGGCTGCTGCTCGCGGTCGCCCGCGTTCGGCTCTGTTTTTGTTTGTCCAAGGCAAAGCCAGCCTCGGCCGCGTGATCATCTTTACCGCGCCGACCTCGTGCACCCTGTTGCACGGTCGTTCAATCCGTTACTTGCTCGCTGCAAGGTCGGTGGCTTTGCTTTGTCGCGCAGTTTCCCTGCCTGTATGCACCGCCACCAGGGTGGCTGGTCTGGCAGGCGGAAAGTTTTTTGGCTGTCTCTTGAGGTTTCAATTCGCATCAGGCTGCTGTTTGCGCTTCAAATTACCCGCGTCGAGCTTATGTTCCCTGGTTTTTCGGGCGCTGCGCTTTGGCATTGCAGCGCCTCTAGTCTTTCACCACCAATCTGCATAGCCGTGACTGGGCTCTTTCATCATGGCGCGTCCGATTTAGTTCGTTCGCACTTGGCACCTCCACCTGCCGACCGCGCCTAAGGTCCCTCTGCGCCGCCGAATTGACAGTGTGTCTGTGTGTGCGTGCCACCTGCATTGCTGGCATCGTGCTCGACTACTCTCCCGTGGTGGGCCTGGCGCACCCCCTATCCCTGTACCGGTACATCCTGCATTTCGCGTACGTCTCCCTGCGCTTCTACCCCTGGGTGTGGCCGCGGTGCCGCCCGGCGCTCACTGCCAGGGTGATGGATGGAGCCCTGGCTTGCCGCCCTGGCCGCTCCAAGGCGATGCGCCTCGCCTTGTGAGTGCCCTTTGCTCCCACTTCCTTTTACTGCCCGCGGCCGCCCGCCTGTTCTCTCGCTCCCCTCTTGCCGCTGGACTATTAGCGCTTGCTCCCCGGCCCGCTCGAGCGCGCGTGCGGACTGCCTCTGTCGCGCTGCGGCGTAACAAGTATGTGTGTGTGTGTGTGTGCCCCTCCTGTTCTTCGCCCTGTCGCTGCGCGCAGGGCCGCGACGCCAAAAAGTGTGCGCCCTTCCTGGGGTGCTACGAGCACATTGCGGAGCCAGGGAACTTCGGTCGTGGCCTTGGGCCCGCGGTGCGGGATGTGGACGCACCCATCCCGCTCGCGGTGCCCGTCCTTCCCACCAACATCTCCTGCCCCTATGCAGCTCCCTGTGGGGGGTAGGTATTCGAAGTTCGGTTTTCGCTGTTTTCGAGCGGTTTCCTCGGTTTTCGGCGGTTTCCTACCCTTGGTGTGCTTTCAAACTGCTGCTTCTAGCCGAGGGGTTTCTGGGGGTGTCCAGATCGCCCCGAATGGCCGCCAGAGAGCGGACTTTCGGCCCGAAGACACGGGGGCAACGTTAGGGGGAGATAGGCTCTGGGATCCTTTTGCTGGTGTTCCTCCTCCCTGCCAGGACCTGCTGGCGGACCGCAAGGTGCCCTTCAGCCAGCTGGTCTCCCTCGTGAGACGCTTCTCCGAGACGGCCAACGGCGCGCTGGACAGCGAGGAGCGTTGCGGTTCCCATCTCCTCCTCCGCCTCCTCCTCCTTTCCTATGTGCCACATGCGCCGACGCAGCGTTCAGCGCCTGTCAGCCCAGAGTATGAGTCAGCTTGGCAAGTGGTGCCCGGCTCATGTCCGCCGCAGGAGACACCCACCTGCAGGATGTGGCTGCGGGCAGCGGTGGCCGGGCAACCCGCGCCGCCGGCGCAGGTCCCGCTGCTGCCACCGATGGAGGTTCCAGTTGGGTTGGCTTCTCCTTCCCCTCGTCATCGTCGTCCTCGTCCTCCTCCTCTTCGTCCTCCTCCTCGTCCTCCTCCTCCTCGTCCTTTTCCTCCTCCTCCTCCTCCTCGTCCTCCTCCTCTTCGTCCTCCTCCTCCTCGTCCTCCTCCTCCTCCTCGTTGTCCTCCTCGTCCTCCTCCACCACCTCCTTCTTCCACTTCAGCACGGCACGGAAGTTTGCCAGGCTGACGGCCCATGGGCGGCCAGGGCACCAATGCCCCATGGTGCTTTGAGTTCTCTTCGCCAGTACGCTGTGTCGCTGCACGCCTAAGTGTTCATCATCGAAGGTCAGGCACGTGCGTACTATCTGGTGCAACCAGAAGCTCCCTCCTGCCTCCTCCCTCCTTTCCTCCCTGCCTCCTCCCTCCGCTTTGCTCCGCTTTCCTCTCTGTCCTCTCCGCCCTCCCCCCTCGCTCGTGGTTGTGACGTGTCCAACATAGTGCCTGCTTTTGCGGAGGCTGCAGGCTGGAAGTGCCAACGCTCCCGACAGCCATGGACAACGTGCGCTAAGTTCTTGTGGGTGCTCGTTGCCGGCCGAGCTTCGATTGCATCTTCGGATCGAGGGGTGGCCCTCGGTTTTGCAGCATCGTGCACCTGACGTGGGGCATATATGGCGCTCCCTAGATGGTCTCGCCTTCAGCGCATCTCGCCTTCGGTGGAAGCTGGCGGAAAATCGGTGGGCCCCAGCTGCTCCTCACAGAGCCACCCCCACAGGGGTGGGGGTGCGTGCTGGGCGGGGTCGGGGCAAATTCCTGGACCTTGCCTCTCCATGCGCCCTCGCTGCAGGGCATCCGATCTAGTTTTTTTTTTGATTGCCCCTGGCGTAGGTAGAGACCGAAGCCCGCCACGAAACCTCCATAGACAGACTAGGGAGTAGTGAAGGAAAGGTAAGGAAAGTCGGTGGAAGCACGCGCGAGACGTCGTTACTGGTGGACCCAGAGCCTCGGGAGTCGGCCATTTGGGGCTGAGGCGTCTTGATACTCAAGACTAGGAGGAGGAGGAGGAGGAGGAGGAGGAGGAGGAGGAGGAGGAGGAGGAGGAGGAGGAGAAGGAGGGGGAGGAGGGGGAGGAGGGAGAGGAGGACGAGAGGAGGAGGAGGAGGAGGAGGAGGAGGAGGAGGAGGAGGAGGAGGAGGAGGAGGAGGAGGAGGAGGAGGAGGAGGAGAGGAGGGAGGAGGGAGGAGGAGGAGGAGGGGGAGGAGAGGAGGAGGAGGAGGAGGAGGAGGAGGAGGAGCGTGGACGGAGGGTGCCCCTCCATCGGATGCTGCCAAAGGTGCTCCTGGCCCTGCACGGCGCCCCCCCTCCCACCCCCAGCGCCCTCTCGGGGCCGCGGCGGCCCTGCTCTGGCCCCCTGCGATAGGGGGCACCCCGGAGGCCCTCTTTGGGCCTCTCCCGGAAGTCCCGCGGCCCTCGGCGCAGTGCAGGCGGCAAGTTCTGCCCGCGCCGTTTCGGCGCCCCCGGACCCCAGAGCTTCATGGCTGACGGGTGGCTTCGTACGCTCGTCGGCGTCCGCAGGCCGCGCCGCGCTCGCCACGGAACAGTCTGGTCGGAGGGCCAGGCGGGGGGGGGGCGGCAAGGCTCGTGTTGAGCTCCGCGGCGGGACGTGGGGGCCTCTCGGGCCAGGGACACGCAGTTCGCATGCGGCCCCGCCGCACAGTTCGGCACACCCGTCACACGTTTCGTGGCCCCACAGGGAGCTCCACCGAAGGTCCCAGTGGCGCAGTTCGAATGCGGGTCCCGCCGCCCGTTTCGCCACACCTCTCGCACGTCTCGTGGCCCCATAGGGAGCTCCACCGAATGTCCCAGTGCCGCAGTTCGCATGCGTCCCCGCCGCCCATTTCGGCACACCCCTCACGCATTTCTCACCCCCTAGGGAGCTCCACCGAAGGCCCCAGTGCAAGAGTTCACACGCGGCTCCCCGCTCACCGCCTGTCCATTCGCGGCACGTCCCTCACACAGTTCGTGGCCCCATAGGGGGTTCCCCTTTCTTCGTCTCACCTGCCTCGCGGTATTCACATGTGCACATGGTTGGGTTCTTCGCCGGGATAGTTTCACAACGTGGCTCCCCAGAAGTCTGGACCTCTTCCCCGGGACTGGTTTTTCATCCTGAGCCGCATTTTGACAGTGCTGGGCCTAGTGACCTAGTGAGGTCCTCTGGAGGCTGAAATCGGCCAAAACTTTCATCGTGTTTACCCACGACGCCAACATGTCTGAGTGTGTGCCCCCTGGTGAGCAGGGCAGGGCAGGCACATGCACCGACCCTGGGTCCCCTGATCGGCCCGGCGAGGAGTCAGGAGGAGGCCAGTGGTGGTCGTCCCCCGAGTCGTCGCAACGCCCTCTACGGGAGCCTGCCGCGCCCCGGTTGAGCGATTGGATGTCGAGTGTCGAGTGGGCCTGTCGCCCTTCTTCACGCGGCTCGCTTTTCGTTGCCAGTCTTGCCT